GTAGAATAAGTAATGCTGTTACGAATTCCTCTGGGGGGGGGGGTGATTTCACGTGGGAGAATATGTCTCTATTTTCACACAGCACAATTCACTTACTTTTTTATTTAGACTGCCATAGTGCATGAATGATTCCAGGAAGAGTAGGACGTTTGCTACGTCTTGTGGCAGGTCACCTGTTTTTGAACTAGAGAGAAAGACAAACACAAAAATCAAAATAGGCAATGACATTGGTTCATCTCAGAAGAGATGAACTCTATAAGATGATTTAATTGCTAAAGTCTCAAGAGTCTCTCTGCTAGTCTCGTGAAAAAAATCCAAAATGATTATTGACACAAGAGTTGTGACAAATCTGTTACTAAAACTGTCATCTGGTGATAAATGCAAGCAACGAACAGTTAAGCGTTACAAAGAAAACAGACCAGCTATCCAAATTGTTGCACCAGTAATAATTTATTTCGCGATTACCTCACTATGCTGAAAATGAAAATAACCACGAACAGATCTGCACAATCGATATTGAACGGATCAGTTAATAACATATCACACGTATAATCCACGTCGATATAACCACACGATATATCACACGATAATGATGTAATCCACACCGAACTCATACCCGAGAGATATCTCGACAGTGGACTTGATGAACTGGCCGAGGAGCGCAAAGAAGTGGTTCGTGTTCTCCGGGTGGAACTGCCTCAGCAGGGTGAACGTTCCGACGATGAACGGAACCTCATCCAGGTGATCGGTGAGCTTCTTAGACTGCAGAAGGCCTGCGAAGAAACGCAGCTTTAAGCCGTCGCGTCGTGAACACCATCCGATATCTTATATTCTGTGTTTGTTGCATGTAATTTCTCAGAATCTTTAGTTTAAATCTTTTGCCTTTACCTTTAAATTATTAGATAAGTTTAACATAACATAGGTTGATATATATATAAATATATAATATTATTATATATAATTATATTATTAAATTAATGTTAAATTTAGTTAAACAATTGTAAAAATCATAATCTGAAGTTTTTAATGCCATCATGAATGTAAAATTTTCCCAAACATCTATCCTGCATCAGAACCACGTATTTGCCCTTCCCTCTCTTTGACCTTGACCTCTATTTTTGACATGGCGCAATCATTTTGAATTGCACCACTCCACTTGCTGAATATGCCATGGGTAAATGATGCCGCTTAGATTTGTTCCACTATAGTTGACTGATGCACAGATAATATGGACAAACACTCCTGCTATATTTTAACTAACTAATCTCTACTACGTCAGATGAGCTAAACATTTCATAAAAGCAAGCAAACTAATGGAATGGTACAATAAGTTCATTAAGCTCAAGTTAATTGGATTCACCATTATTAAGTATTTAATTTAACAATGCTTCCCAGTATATTGACCAACATTAACTAATTATAATCCATTTCTAGCTTTTGTCGCCTACTGCCACCTGGTGATAAGCCAAAGCAACTTTATTCAGCTTGACGTCATGCAGCCATCCTCGTGCGACAGCACGAAAACGCCGCATAGCGGCCGCCAATACAAACAACCTGCACTATCCTAAACACTTTCTCGAGGCCCTTTAGGGTATAGGGAAAACGGCCGGGAAATCGTCCAGCGAGAGTTCTGTTCATAGCACGACGGTTTTGACTACCCACGTAGCTCGAGACTTGCTCCAAATGAGCCAGAAAGTAGTTTGGCTAATGTGCGCGCGTCCTATGGCCGTCAAAAACGGAGTTTAAACGTTTTCCATCGAGACACGCCCACGGCAACTACCAATCACCGCGCGCGCCTAGCATAGGCCAGCTCAGTTGCTGGGAAAATTGCCTGATTATTTTTACCCGTACTCTAAACCCGGCCAGCCCGTACTATGGCTATGGCCCGTAGACACGTGCCCCACCTGCCCACGTGTGTTCTTACCATGTACGACCGGTTTCAAACATAGTCTACGAATCGAAGCCATTCTACAGGATTCACATACGATCGAAGCCATTCTACACGATTCACATACAGGTTTCGACACGGGATTCACTGCACGCCTGACAAGACGACGGCAGTCGACGTATATAAGGACCGGCTGGGGTTGACTGCCCCCCCCCACATCTCGTCTCGCACATACGCGTCCGATAGATGGCGCCACTAGTCTACAAAAATTTGTCGTTACTGTTTGCTGGGAGCCATGCATCCATGCGCCGGCCTATGGATTTGGCGCACGGATGCATAGCTCCCAGCGCCTCATACTTTCGTAGCACGTTACCGCGGTCGAGTGCGCCTTGCCGCGGAACTGCGCGCTACACCGCGCTCGGCGGTCAGGATCAACGCTTCCTTTGCGCATCGCCTCTCTAGTATCCGGTCTCTCCTCTGGAGGTGATGCGGCCATGATGCCGAGGCGCGTCGAGGATTGACACGTCTAGTCCCATGCATTTCGCAATGTTTACATGCCACATCGCCATCTCTTGGATGTTTTATAAGTAAATATGGGGATTTTCAATAAAATAATGCGTTTTTAATGTATTTACCACGATTTACGTATAGAAACTATATGTTATTTTTACTGATTTCTCCGTATCTTTCCTTGGAGTTTTCATCGTCTTTCAATGCCTTTTTTCTGCGATTTCTGCGTGATTATTATTTTGCGCAGGCACTCATTTTGGAAATCCTCCAACATTTTTACTTCTTCCTTAAGTCCATGTTTCACTGTTATTTAGGAAGCAAGGTAAAACTGTGCATTCGTATAATTTCACTCTTCTTCTTGATTTCCATAATTTTGCTCTTCTGCCCATGATAATATTTCCCTCATCATGAACCTACATTTTTCAGTACGGACTCTTATCATATCATTACAACCTCCTATATCATTAATTAAATCCCCTAGGTATGAATATTTGGTGTATTTTTGGATTACTTGGTTGCCTATTAATATCTCCTTCTCTATCCTTTCTTTGTTGGTAAATTTTATAACCATTGTATTTGTTTTGTTCATATTAAATTCTAATCTTTTTGATTCAGCTAATCTGGAGCATGACTGAGCGATTTTTGTTACTGTTTTATAATCTCCAATTCCTAGAATATCGTCCATATATAATCATTGTCATCTTCTAAAACTACAGACCATCCGCTGACCGCTGTGTAGACGTGCGCCGGGCCTCGAATTTGGCACACGTCTCCACTGCGGACAGCGCTTCATACTTGAACATCCCCGCAGTCGCGTGCGCATATCCCACGGAACTGCGCGTCTCATCCGCGCGCAGCGCTTAGGATCAACAGCAAAGCTGTGCCACGCAATCTTGTATCATGTCTCTCTGGATAATACCAAGAGTACATAAGAGTACATAATACTCCTATTATGTACTCTTGATAATACACGGTGTGACAACTGTTACCGGTAATATATTTGATTTATCATAACTTTGCTTCTTACCAGAATGGTGATTAAATGCTATCTACTAGAATCACAGCTTACCTAAGCTCTTGATGTATTGTAGTTTCGGTAGCTGCCCAATCACGAACAGAAACACGAAGAGAGCTAGGTAGGGCAGCCGCTTTGTAGTTACATATATCTGATAACAAAATAAATACAGATTTATGTTACCTGTGCGTAGTGAGCACAACCGAAACATGCAACACGGAGTAAAACCTAGATCTATAAATATTCTCTTATAAAAACGCCAATATAAATCTGAGCTGTGTTTGGTTTTCTATCATATTTCACATTATATAACACTAAGATCGAGTGTTGCAACAGAGCATACTGGATACTCAGCATATAGTAAAATTATTCTAATCACTTGAAAGATATTCGAGATAAAAACCAGTTCAACTTGAACTTTTAACAGTTTTGGCATTTCGAATAGATTGAAATTACCTTGACAAATGGGTTATTCATGCCTGCTGCTTCCAGGTAGGATGTTAGTTCGTACAGCAAAGGGTTTTCTTCCTTGGGGTAGGGGAGAGATGGGTCAGCATAATGTGCTTGCACCTCTCCAAGAAGGACCCTACAACAGAATACCTTTGTCAATCCAAGATAACACACGTTCAAACAGTGTGACACCAAACTAAAGTTGCCGCACAATTACTCACCCACCAATGATGGCAAATCTCTGTCATAGGAACAGTTGTACAGTCAGAAGATAACTGCGCTTCGATATAATTATAGATATATATATTTATGATTGTTTCTACTAATTTATTCGCTTACCAGAGTATCACAATATCAGTCTGTTTGAGTATGCTCGTATTAACAAAAAGGCCAATAAGAAATGGAGAAACAATGTAGCAAGGTGCAATGATGTGCAAGCAGCGTACTCGTTGAAGGTTGCGAGGACACTTGCAAGGTTCTTCGAGTCAAACTTGCACGACGTGTTCAGCTCGTTGGCTATCAAGTTCCTCAGTAGTTGCATCTGTCCAACCTGTGACACACACGGAACATCATGTGTTACTGTATAATCATGTTAATTGAGAGTTAATGTATCTCGTTCGCTGATAATAATAGTAGTGCTTCGCTCATGAATATTTTCAGTGGAAGGCAACAGAAATGACAATCCAGGAAACAAAATTAAAAAAGACATTTTTTTACAAAATAAACTAACAATTCATAATGCAAAAAATGCAGAAGTCAACAGAGAAAACGTCAGCAAGCATACAATTGATGAATGTGTATGCATCATTCATTAGAAATAGCAGGAACATAGATAGAAATATATATAACATGTATAACTGTGGGCTCACACATGCATGCATGCGTATAAATCTACATATTATAGAGATTATTATGTCAACAACAATAGTGCATCTGCTCATTACTCATGTGAGCTACGCAGATCGTGAGTGTCATATATGTTACCTTGAGTATAATATCGAGGAATGGAGGCAAGATCTTCGATGCTTTAGACGTCGCCTGGCTGTAGAGCTTGTTCGGCTGAGCGACGCAGCTGTTGACGGGATTCAGAGAGGTCATCAGTGAGCTGAACGTCTCCATCCAGACCTTGTCACGCAGCACACCTCTCTCCAGCAGCGTCAGGAATCCCTGCAGCTCTCGCACTATCCTGCAAACATCACACGATACCGACATTAATAATAGTAATAAAGGTAACCCTGCAGCCCTCGCACTATCCTGCAAACATCACACGATACCGACGTTAATAATAGTAATAAAGGTAACCCTGCAGCCCTCGCACTATCCTGCAAACATCACACGATACCGACGTTAATAATAGTAATAAAGGTAACCCTGCAAGATAAAGTTCTCA